TACACCTGAATGTACAGCCTGTTATTTTGTTTCAAGCTGACACCTTCATGTTCTGACCAATTTTATAACAGGTATTTTATATAAACGTAAACAGAAAAAAAAAAACAATCCTCCCCTTGGTGCATAAATCAAAAAGAGAAAAAGAGACAGATAAAACACTTAAAGTACAGTTTCGTATTACTGTGGGAGACTTCTACAGACTTAGCACGATATTAACTAATGTAATTTCCCAACTATAATACAGATAGCTTACTGATGGTAATTATATGTCATTGCGGACTCAAAAAGCACATAATACAGCCGATAATTTTGGGTTACTATTGTAAAACTGAATAGTTGGGATTAAACGTCAGTCTTAAAACGTATCTACAGCCCCAATGTGCGATATATATATTATATTATATTGTATGTGGGTGTGGGGGGGGGGCATAATGGGATGCATACCACGGATTTACAGCATTGTACACTAACTCCACTGAGCTCGAGGTTATCGTATATATATGATATGAATTTTAAGTATAGAAACATGGTAGCAGGCGCAAGTTTGTCTCCATATTGAGCCCACCAAACTGAATATAAATGAAGCCAATAAACTTAAAAGGTGAATACTTGAACTAAAATATGCTGAGGTAACCCACATTCGATATTTGAAGACAAAAAAGTTAACCCTGAAAACAAACCAAATAGTCTTGTGAAATAAAAATCGACGCTTTCTCAAACTGCAAATTTTACGGTTTAGTGTACACGTATACTAAGAACTTGTATGAATTCTATAAAGCAACATGTACTTGATTTTTACTTCCTTCTTAATACAAAAATAACGGGTTGTTTTTCGTATCTTTTATAAGAAATTGGAAAGTTTAAGTTGATTTTGATTATCGCTAGAGATACGCCTTATAGTTACACCTATGCATTGTATTACTATGGCGACAATTTTTTAGATATACAAGAACTGATTCCGCTGTCTTTATATAGAGGGGAGATGTTTGCCAATATTCTTATAGATTTTAGATGGGTAAGATCTTTTATAATAATAATAAATTTTATCTGTCCTGAAAATGCGCGCGCACTTCATTCAAGGAGATGTAAACAAAAGGCAGATGTAAATATACTTCAGTAGACATTTTGTACAACAACATTAAAAGTTTAACAAAGTTTTCAAAAATACGTCAAAGGTTAGGTCGTGAAATAACATTGTAAGCTTATTTATTGATAGTATAAAGTACGGTAAAGTTTAACCCTAACTAAACTAAAGCACAAAACGTACAGAAGTTACGGTGTTAATTTATCTTTTTATCGAATACAGGACGAAGGTAATAAAGGCTTAACTAATGATTGACATAAGACAAGTGGACTTACAGATTTCGGTGTCTATATTATTCTAGAAATCCCGTATTAAAAAAAAATACTGTTGCAATGAAGATACTAATTTGACCGCAAATGTTTTGTGGGTTTCTGCTAGTACAATAATAATATTCGGAGAAACATATATTTTTACAATTCCAACAATATAACAATAATAGGAGAACAATATAGTGTTCCCTTTATTTCAAAAACTTTAGTGTCAACAAATAAACGTAGACACTCTAGCCCAAAAGTTCACTTTCTCAACAAATTAGGATATCTACTTTTTCGGAATGTCAGTGAAATAAAGTTTAAAATAAATATCTGAACGATCTTTCCAACAATATTCTGAAAAACATCTGTACCTAAAAAGGAAATAGCAGTGTTTAATCCACGTTTACAGTATCACATTCATTTTCTGTTCAATGTTCACATATTCATCCATTATGATTTTACATGTGTTAAACTATTAAAGGTACTTTACTGTGCTTTGATCTTTGAGGTTACAGATTAACAAGATGTATTTCCACCAGTCTTCACGAACGTCAGCTGGATATTTTTCCATTTTTTCCTTCCATAATGGTCCAGAACCCAGTAAGGGAACCAGCATTGAAAAACACAAAAGAAATACCAGTGGAGGACAAAGTCTACGAAAAGAAAAAGTTTCGCTTTATAGTTAAACATTTGTAACCTTAAACTAGGCACAAAGATTAGGAACAGGTAGTGTATAGTTAACATAGATTATTTAAACTCTCTACACTGTTTATTAGACTAATGTAGTCAATCACAGGCAACATTCCTCTGGGTAAGGCAAGACTTTAGAAAACACTTCCAACTCTTCACAAACAACAGAATGCATTTGTTTTTTTATGAAACGTTTGTGATATTAATATCTAAGTCCATTTAATTCTCCAATTTCAATTCATTTCAGTAAAAGTCCGGTTTTACATTTGAGCATGTTTCTTTTGATATAATGATTGAAGCGATTTTTTAACCTAGTTTTACATGATTTGTATATTTCAGGCACATGAATTTAGTGCGTATTTACGTGTGTAACAATATGAGGAGAAGAATTATAGTGCGTATTTACGTGTGTAACTCTAGCTACAGTATTAAGAACAAAGTACTATAGATTCCTTTATACAAATACTAGATTATCTGAATTTAAAACTTCAAAAATTATAAAACAAATTCAGCATGATAGTATAACTTTTCTTCTGTCGTTGTTGACGAAGTAAATAATTCTTCTCCTCATATTGTTACACACGTAAATACGCACTATAATTCTTCTCCTCATATTGCTACACACGTAAATACGCACTATAATTCTTCTCCTCATACTTAGATTACGAACTTTAGTTTTAACAGGTTGATTCTATATAAAAAATCAAATTACTAATATATTACTTATATTACTTGCATTACTTATATATTATCATTACCTCATCCACCTCAAGAAAAGGTAATGTGCAGGGCTAAAATTCCTTCTGGATAACTCCTTGAAAGTCAAATAGAATGATAAGAATCCGCTGTGAAAGATAATACTTAGATCATTTTTTTCTGTTCTAAAACGTTAGTTACACGTAAGCACGAAAACAAGCCATTAGAACAAAAACGTACACACAAAAACTTTACGAAAAACGTACACACGAAAAACTTTATGAAAAAGGTACAAACAAAAAACTTTATAAAAGTTGTATGTGATGTACACTGAGTGGTCACAAGTAAATAGACACCTAATTGTTCGTCATTTAACTGATTTATGCTAACTAATTT